ATCGCACCACGTTGTGTTAAATTGGCCAAGCACCCTCGAGGCAGTTACCCAGTGCTTATAACTGTCTCCGGAAGTGAAAGCACCAGAAAATAAATGAAGTCACACGCAGCTGTCATCCGTACGCAAGGAAGTAAGCACAAGATGCCGAACACCCTTAGCAGGATGCAGCGCACCCTTCATGCGACTCGCCGAATAACTCACGGCGCTTCGCACTTGGTGATGTGAGAGCCTGTTCCGGTGCGAACCCGGCGTGCTCCGTCCCGGCTTTGTAGGGATGCGAGGTCAATGGTCTAACGACTACGGCATGCACGACTATGAGTAACTTCCTCGCCCCCTACGCGACGAACAGGTTCTTCTACGATGGCACGCGCCTCCGTCGGGGGCGCGTGAAGTGCGCCCTCCGCAAGATCCGAGCGGTGAGAGATTTCTTCGCCCGGCAAAAGATCTTCAAGTTCTACGCGAGCTCTCTCCTTCTGACGTACGATTCGGCAGACCCGATCCTTCCGGGGGACGTGGAGGAAGAGGTGAGTGTGAAAAAAGCTGGTTTGTTTAATAACTGCTTTTTTGTTCGTGTACAATGTATTCTACGGAGAGTTTTGGGGGGTGCTCGGGTGGGGTTAGTTAGTACACTGCAATTTTTTCTAGATGTATTGGAGATTTTTGTCTTTTCGTGATATAGACTCTGCATGTTGTCCGGGGGGGGCGTACTCTTATGTTTTGCATGCCTTAGCGGTTAGAGCATTGACCACGCGTCCTCGAGAGGACGGAGCATTGTTCCCACAGGACCGATCACCGATGGCCAGTCGTTCCTTCCTACTTTGCGAAAGGTGGCTCAAAAATGTCTTCCCTAGTCTGTCTATCCTAACGATATCCCTTCCCGCCTTTTCAACCCACCTCCTATGCCCCAGTACAGCTACCGTCCTTTCCTCTCTATTCCATGCCTCAAACATCTCCCTGTACGTTCCATCTATTTTTCCCAGCTCAGTCACGTACACTTCCCTCTCCTTCTTGTACAACGGACATTCCGCGACTACATGAACACGGTCTTCGCATTCGAAGCCGCAATCACATTTGAACTCGTCGTCTTCCTCGTCTACCGTCCTATGTCTTCGTCGACGTTCTCGAAGGCCTATGTCCCCGGTCCTGAATTTGACCTTAAGCTTTGTTCCTGCATCCATTGGTCCATATAGGTACTCCTTGAACCCTATTCCTTCCTTCCCCTCCTTATCCTTGGATTATTTCCTTAGATTCTGTTCTTCTCTCTCGGCAC